CCTATGTACTTTCCCACATTAGGACTGAACGTTTTAAACACCGTTTTATTAATAGGTGTCTTTTTGATTTTATCTAATTGTCAGTTGTAATCAGGAACGTTTGTCTTTGGAATCAATAAAGACCTTACTTTTAATTATTTTATATTTCGACCGAATTCTTAACGGCAAGCACCCTATAACTCACCGCTAATTTGCTTGAACAAACTGAATTTTGGTAAATGGACATGTACACTTTCTGATTATCCCAGCCGATCCAATAATTTCTCAAATTAAGTTTTTGTGACGACATCACTTCTCTACTCTATCGGCGCATATACCATGCTAGCTTTTCAGTTATGGTCTGCGTTACCTCGTCTTTCAAGACTGGAAGCATGTTAGCAATTATTATGAACTAAGTCACGAGTAACTTTTTTACTGGCCTCCCAACCAGAACTGAGTTGTAGAAAGAGAATTGTTCGAACAGCGATGCTGCGAATTTACAACCAGGTAAAAACCAAAGTTATCTTCGCTGCTAAGCGCACCTTGTTTGCCATTGAATTCGCACTCATGGTGCAAAGACGTATCTGTGTGCAAAGGCCAAACGCCCTTATTTTGCCAGAGGGGCACCGTACAATCAACACATTCATGCCCCCTGATGTTTATAAATTCGAACTGAAAACACTGACTGTAGAAATATATAGGCAAGGTCAGTATGTTGCAGTTTGCTAGGGACGTTCGCATGTAATCTGTGTACACAACTCCGTCAGTGTCATAGCGACAGGTAGCTCGCCAGTGAGTAGACTGCTTCCCAAGCCATTCAAGGTAATTACGGCGGATCAGGTACGCATGCCAGTTTGGGTGATCGCCGCTGACTGCTTCAGTGTAGTCAGAAAAAAGAATATTCTAGAAATAAAAATTATTTTATCTCTTAGCTGAAATCACCTCTGTCTTTGCCCTCGTAATCTCGGTTATATTCTATCAATTTAACATTTTTATATATTTATTCACACATTTAATGTAATGCTGTTATAATACCAACCAAGAATTGAGAAATGTTCAGAATTTGTATCAATGACCTGATACAAATTCTGATACTATGAAGATCTCTCAAATTCTTTTTAAGGGGCATGGATCTGATGATACTGTTGTGAAGCATTTTCTTGGTTGTTTTAAAGATTTCATTGTGAGTTGCTTTTATGTTTGCGCTTGAAGTTTCAACCGTGCCTAGAGTCTCGAGCTCGTTATGATTAGGGTTGTAGAGCAAGGTTAATGCGTATTTGTATCGACAGGTTTTTAAATTTTCTTACATTTTAAAGGGGGTTTTCAACATAAGTGTCGTTTATTAAATATGAGTGTCAGAGCTTGAAGTGGGCACGTTTTGGGATTGTAGTTGACCTTGATTGTTACCTACATCAGAGTTCTTGTTCTTGAAGGTAGGGCCTCTTGGGCTTAGTTGTCAAACTGTCATTGCTTTTTCTGTACTTGACAAAGGTTTGCTTATTCCAATTTAATGATTAACAGTAAACTGTCATGGTCAGCAAGCCCGAACGTACTCACAAAGGGCACCAACATGTAACAATACATCTTGGTTTCCGTTGACCTGTCGACTTAATGTATTTTACAATGTACCTGTTTTTGGGACAAGCTGAACGACTGGATCAAGTTCCATGCAAACCCGGGTTCTGAATCAAAGTCGCAGAACACTTGAAAAGATTGATTGCGGTCATCAGTGATTGTATACAATCCAGAGTTTCTTTCTCCTGCAGCTTTATAGGCCTGGCAGCTTTTTCTTTTAAACTCACAGTGTCTACCCATAAAATTTGCTGGACAAGAACAATTGTACCGAACGCTCTTGGGCTCACATATTTCTGTGCATTTTCCTCCATTTTGACAAGGATTGTTTCTGCAGCACCCGTTGACTTCTGTAATTTCATCACAGGACGCAACGCAGTGTTTCTATAAAATTAAAAGAAAATAATTGTAAGGTAAGCTCCGTTTATTGCGGCCCGTACTGGGCAGCTACCTATTTTAGTCTTGAAAGCATCCGAGAACTCGATTTGTTGTTTTACCAGTTCCTAGTCCCCGCCGCGTAGCACCCAATCATCACTCGCAGCAAAGTAATATGGCGGCCAAAATTTTTTATCTGAGAATTTTGTGAGCGATCTATGATTCTTTCTGAACACGCTTAAAAGGAAATGGCAATAAACTTGTTAAAGAGTTTCTTAGCACTCTTGAATCCTCTTGGTTAGACATTCGTGATTGTTGTGCCGTGTGAGGTTGGCATTCTAGAGTCGGACACGAATGCGACGGTCAGTTTAATATTCTCCGTAATTAAGCAGCCGGTAAGTTACTCATTTGCTTGTCATGTCGGTTGTAAAGACAGGTAGGACAGGCTGCGTGGGGTTCGTCTTTAGCAATGTTGGATAATTCACTACGAGCCTCAGCGCTCCGGAAGTTAAAAAATTCGTACCGTCTGGTTGCTATGAAGTGACGTAATCATCCAGTTGAGTATCCATCACCGTAACACTTTTGCGGTCAACTACCGCAGCGCTCGTAAAGTACGTTAATTAAAACCGTGTTCAAAACCCTGTAGGAAGTCTGTTTATTTTTGAGTCGATTAATGCACTGCTGACTTTCACGAGGTCAACTTTTGCATAAATTATCAAACATTATGTTAAGCGGGAAATCTACCTATGGTTCGCGGGAGAAGCAACTTCTATAGCGGCGCAAGACAAATGTTTCGAGAGTCGAGGATGTGCTCACAAACTATTCACTATGCGACGAAAGGAGAAATCACTAGAATGATAGCTGCATGTAATGGTAATTTTATCAATCCAGGTCGCGCCGTGTTCGCTCGAGAACACTGTGACAACCTCATTTGGCGCGCTTCTCAATACTTCCAAAACATGTTGTAATCGGTAAGTAGACTTAAGCACTTAGTATCGCCAAG